AGTTCCTGTCCACTCAATTTGTAAGAAAAATATAAATAAAAAATTAAGCAGAAGGCTATATTTGACATTTGTATACAAAATTAAAACAAATTGTTAATCACTAAAAGTAATGGACAAATAACATTTTTATGAGAAAATTTAATAAGAGTAGTATTGTTTTATATTCTTGCCTATCTATGTCTTTAATATCTGTAATATGTCAAATAGACTGGACCATGATTCTCAGTGGCTTTGCAGTTATTATGTAGTCATCTCCTATGAGATCTGATACAATGTAATGGCCTTCATGATGAGATGTGCTATGAGCAGCCAGTCATTTGAAAGGGAGTTTTTTCAGGGGTATGGACTGCTTCCAATATATATATATGGACGTCCTGGGAAAATTCCCTGGCTTTTCTGCTGGATCTTGGTCCTGCATGTAGCTCATCATCATCTCCAGTTCCTGGACTTGAACCAGCAGCCTGCTGTACTGTCCACTGGCTTTGTGTTCCTCAGCCGGTGCAGCTTTGTGAGTCAAGACAAGCCTGTAGCTTGACATTTGACCCACAGACTTGAGACTTGCCAGCCTCTACAACTGTGAGCCGTTTCCTTGAGATAATTTTTTTTTCTCTGTCTTTCTAAGCTTCACTGGTTTCATTTCCCTTGAGAACCCAGCCTAAGACGTTATGTTAATAGAGAACAGGTGAATTCTTCTATCTACTTCTGTATTCAATCTGGATAGTTCTCATATGTGATGATAGTCCTAGAACTGCTGAGGTGTGTCATTATGTACTGTATAAATCAGGGCATAATTAGGAGACAGAAATAAGGTTTCGTGGTAATTCTGCTTCACGTATTTCAGATTCACAGATTTTTCTCTTGAAGAGACAGACCAACCTAAACATAGATGCCACCCATCTGTGCACCAGATACCCTCACCTCCTTCTTTCTAAATATGTATTCTTACAGTATTATGTGCTAGTTTTTAAAAAACATGCTCCAGTTATAAAAAAAATGTAGCATTGCTAAGCCTTGTTTTCCTTATTCTGCACTTGTATAGTTAGTTTTTTGAACCAGTTTGTTCTTTATTAAATTTTATCTTCTTAGTCTATCTTTTGGGATGCTAGTTGTATACATTGTACACAGCTGTAGCACATTGGCCAGCTCTCTCAACTTCATATCCATAAAAAAGTCAAATATGCCATCCATAGACTCATCTGTGTCATTGATAAAAAGTGTTGAATAAAGTATTTATAATTTCTTTAATCCTGGGCACTGTAGAAAAAAGAATGTTTTTAAATAAACATGAAAAGACATTTGGAAAATGATTTTTTTTAACAACTTTATTGTCAGATTTCTAGTTTGGGATGTAAATCAACATTTTTATGTCTGTTTCACTTTTTTTCTTTTTAGGGATCCATCTGTTTCTAAGTCTATAGAACGAATCTTTAAAATCTGGGAAGACAGAAATGTATACCCAGAAGAAATGATTATGACATTAAGAGAAGCTTTGAGTAAGTGTCTTTTCTTTACTAAAAGTAAAATTTGAATCAGTGTTCAGTCTTTAAAATTCTGTACTTTACGTATCTGGTGCTGTTGCTTAATAAAGGCCTTGACCTGCTTTGTTTGTTTAAAATTAAATACTTTTAAAAATCTAGATCTATTTGAACTAAAATTGGTTTTGGAGGTGGGTTGGATTTTGATTTTATTGACTAAAGAAAGTCCAGCATATCAAGTGATGATAGTCATCTGATTATTTTCCTGAATTTGCTTTGTTTTAAATTGTTACTGTTTGTGCTTAATAAATACTATCTTCTCCTTTTAATTGTTGGAGAATTTTTGGATAGGGTTTTAATCTCACTGCGCTATCTAGTACTAAACATATATTGACAGTCTTCAGACTATTTTGGATTCAAATTGTAGTAAGTGTATACTTGTTTCAGAAAAGGAAAGAAAAAAAAAAAGCCTTTTAGTTCCTGTGTATTAGATGCATGTAATTGAAGTCATTGAATAGCAACTGATGATATCTAATAACATGACCATCATTTGAATAGAAATTTGCTTTAAAAATAGCATCTTCTAAGAAGCTGTTAAATTCTTTATTTCAGCTTGTTAAATGGTATCTTTAAACTTCTTGTCCTTTTCAGAATTGGTTAATTTAATTGATTGTAGAAATTATGTTGATTTGACAGCTTCTTAGATCTGGTGGGTGTTTTTATTTTTTTATAAAATAAAAGAAAAGGAAAGAAACGACACACAGTCTCGGATTGCCTTTTTTCATGCTACAACTTTGGCACTGAAGTGGACAGACAGAACAGCTTCCCATAATGCCAGATTGCAAAAACTGAAATGTTTTCCAGGTACCACTTTCAAAACTCAGAAGCAGCTGAAAGAAAATCTGAACAAACAACCGAATAAGCAGTGGAAGAAATCACAAAGTAAGGAACAAAATCTCAACTAATATAAAATTACCTCCTGTTTTTGGAGCAGAAGAAAATGTAGACCTTTTGGCATCGTACCTGGCATAAACCATGGGCAAGCCTGTGTTTTCCAGGCCTGGGAGGCTCCCAGTGACTTATACTAAACAAGCCATCATGGAGTTACTTCTTAAAAACCAAACAATCCACTTTTAAACAAAGGAAATACAGAAAAAGGGTTTAAATGAGTGAAGATTCAAGAGTAGTTGGGGATTTAAAGAAGAAAGAAATGCTTGATAGTTCCCAGACTAATTCTCAGGTTTAAAGATGTATGAAGTTAGAGGCAGCTGGCATTAAAACAACAAAACTGAAGAGGAGACTAGGCATTGAGAAGCATTTCTGTGGGAGCCATGAAATCCTTCAGATTTGGGGATACACTCTGCCAGATTAGACATGGGCCTCAAATCCTGGCCAGAAGCTCATTCTCTAACTGGAGCTCCTCTTATGTTTATCATATTTACCCAGCATGATGAGATCAAGGGAGTGGAATACTGCATGTAATAGGCTGCTGTGGGCCAAACTGAGGAATATTGAGAAAGACTTGAAGGTGTGGAGGGAACAAAGTGAAAGACAGTGAGAATTGGGAGGTGAAACAAGACACTTGGGATAGTTTTGCTCCAGCGAGCATTCGATATTCATCCTGAATGAGGGAGACCTTTGGCATCCTTTTGATGATAAGTTGCATGCTTAGGAACAACAGGAGTCGTCATTTCAGCCAAAGTTCAACCACAGTGGTAATATACTTAGAACTTTCCCTGCTATGAATTGAGTCAGCAGAAAAAGAAATCCAAAGATAAATACATAGGAATAGAGTTGATATTTGTAAATAAGGTTCTACAGCCAGTGCTCAGGATTAATTGAATTTTCTGTCCCTGAACACTCTTAATTTGAGGTATTGAGATCCTCTTGTATTCAGTCAGACTAGGGAAAAAAGGTACTTCATGTATCTCAATTACTCCAAATCAATAATTCTAGGTCTTTGTAACTTCAAGGGTCTGTTTGAGGTAAGTAGGTTAGCCCTATCTAAATAGTCGTATATTTTTTTATTGACCGTACTTTGAAGTATTTAAATTTCATATTCCATTACTTATTCTAGGAATTATATCGTGATTTAAATGTGCATGTTTGACTGATGTTCAAAGAGTAAACCATTAACTATAGAACTGAAATTTTTTTCTGAATGTTAGTCCACTCTTTGTGTCTGTACTCTTAATGACCTTTTGTTTAATTCCAACAGCATCCACAAATCCAAAAGCTGCTCTCAAGTCTAAAATAGTTGCTGAATTTCGAGTAAGTTACAAAATATGTTTAATATACTCAAAGTAGTATGCACCCCTTTTGTGTTAGTTTCCTGTATGGTCCATTAAGAATTACTTTTACTCAGTTGTATATCAACTATGTGTTAAACACATTTGAAAATAATCCAGATTGGGATTAGATTGCTTGGAATTTTATCTGTACCTCTAACTGGAAAAATAACCTTCTTTGAGAATATTTACTACAGCTGAGCTCTGTATTGAAGTTATGCCAAGAAGGGGGTTCATCCTACTGTGAAGCTCTGCTATATTAGAATTTGTTTTAAATTAACGTAAGACTATGTTTATATAATTATATATATGTATATATATTTTTAATGCATTTTTATTGAAATATAATTTATGTACAGTGAAATACACAAAACTAAAGTGACATGGGTCAATGCTTTTTTTTTTTTTTTTTGCAGTGTTCTCGCCCCTCCCCTCCCCTCCCACCCCTGGCAACCAACAAAGAAAGTTTCCCTCCATATATAAACCTTTCCTTGACCATCCACAACAGCGAACTAATATTATATTTATCCTTCTGTGATTGAACTTATTTCACTCAGCTTAATGTCCTCCAAGTTCATCCATATTACGTGATATTTTGCAGACTGTACATTATTCTTTACTGCTGCATAGCATTCCATTATATGTATGTACATAGTTTGGTCATCCACTCTTCCGCTATAAATCTTAGAGATAAGTCCCTTGCTAGATATGTAATTATAGGCAAATATGAATTTGTTGCTGTCATTTTTATTATGTGTTTTTTGTGGTGTTGATTTCTTTGTTCCATATAATTTTCTATGCTGAGCTCATTTTGTTTATGAATCATGTTATCACTTCCTTCATTGCTATTGTTTTAGTATTTGCTGAGTATTTATGCTGGTCCTCTTTTTTGATGTGAAGGTTTATCATTTTTCTTTGAGGTTTCCCTGTGATTTATAGTTTTCTTCCCAAGTTTAGAACAGTCCATTCTATCTTGTAGTTGTTTTGACTTCCCTACCATGTAGAAGTTCTATAACTAAACACTCTTTTCCCTCTTTTTGGTTTGTAGTTGTCCTCATTTGTCAATTGATATCTCTGGTTCCCTGTTTATAATCTTGTAGACTTACTTACTTTGGATACTTCCATAGCTGAGTTGATGTCTGGGTTATATCATCATGTGTGTTAATGGTCAGTTGTTGTTGGCTGTTTTTGGTTCTCTGCCCAAAGGACTCCCTTTAGCATCTCTTGTAAGGTTAGACTGGTTTTAACAAATTCCCTTAATTTCTGCTTATCTGGAAATGTTCTAATTTCAGCATCATATTTGAGGGACAGTTTTGTTGGGTACATAATTCTTGGTTGGAAATTTTTCTCTTTCAGGGTTTTATATATACAATCCCATTGTCTTCTCGCCTGCATGGTTCCTGCTGAGAAATCTGAGCTTAGTCTTATTGGTTATCCCTTATATGTAACTTTTTGTTTTTCCCGTGCTGCTCTCATGATTCTTTCTTTGTCTTTGGTTTTGGTAAGACCAAAGGTGATGATGATATGTGTGGGTGATTTTCTTTTGGGGTCTGTTCTGTTTGGGGTTCGTTGGACTTCCTGAATGGATATATTTTCATCTTTCATCATACCCAGAAAATTCTCTTCCAACAAATCTTTGACAATTTCCTGTGTCGTTTTATTTGTGTCTTCCTGTTCTAGAATTCTGATGACATGTAGGTTATTCCTTTTGATGGTATCCCACATGAACCTTAGGCTTTCATTTTGTTTTTATCTTTTTTTCTGATTTGTCCCTTTCCAAAGAAGTGTTCTGGTATTTGCCTTCAGTCTCCCTGATTCTGTCTTCCATTGATTCAATTCTGTTCCTTTGCCCATTCAGTGACTTAATCTATTTCTGGAAATTTAGTATTAATCTTCTGGATTTCTGTGTGTGGATTTTGTATCATTTCTAATTTTTTATTTATTTTGTCATTTTGTTCTTGTATTGTCTTTTGAAATTTTTTTAGGGTTTTCTCTGTGTTTTCCTCAATCTCTCAATTAATTGAAGATACCAAAATATAATTCTTTTGCATTCCTTATCAGGGAGTTTCAATGCTGCGTCTTCTTCAGGGATGTGTTTTGGGTCCGTATCTTGGTCCCTTGTTTCTCCTGCTTTATCTTGCTTCTTTGTGTGGACTGTAATGCTCTGTTGTCTCTGAGGTATTGTAGTGTTTTTGTGTTTATATTTAATTGGTGATTGTATGTTGGAGTGATTTGCCCATGATTTTCACTTTCTTTGTTTTGTTTGTATGTTATCTACGCAAGCAGGGTACTGTGCTCCTCTGTTTGCTAGTTGATAACACTTACATGCTCATTACCTGTCTCCTTTCCTGTTGTCAGCCTCTCGTATGTCCCTGCCATCCTTGGCAAATAGAGCCTATTCCTAGGTCGCTGGAATCCGAATGAGGATGCTGTCACTTTAAAATCCAAAATGGCTGCCACTTGTATAGATTCAAAATGGCTGTACCCTTGGTCACTTTAAATATCCAAGACGGCCACCGCTTGTAAACATTCAAAATGGCTGTGCCCTCAGTCACTTTAAATATCCAAAATGGCTACTGCTTATAAACAATCAAAATGGCTGTGCCCTCCGGACAGCAGAAAGTCAACAGCTCAGGTTGTCTCCCACCTTGCTATTTCCCTTCCTAGCCATAGGCCACCAGCGCAGTCATCCCTGCAGCCCTTGGTGACCAGGGCTGATCTTTTTTAGGTCAATTCTTAGGTCCCAACACCACTTGGAACTATTGGTCCTATTGGAGTAGCTGAAAGTCTGCAGCTCCAGCCGTCTCTGTAGTCACTGTTTTTGTTCAGGTTTTCCACTAGTTGGTGCCTAATCTTCTTCTCTTTGTTGTTGTTATGTGCTGTCGTGTCTTCTCCAACTCCTAATGACGCCTCCTTGGGTTTCCGAGGCAGTTTCACTACGAAAGTAGATTGCCCCATCTTCCTTCTGAGGAGTGGCTGATGGGTTTGAACCGCCAACCTTCTGGTTATCAGTCATGTACCTTAGGCACTACGCCACCAGAGTTCCCCCACTTCTGTATAGTTCCTTTCAAAGCTCAGAGCTCAGGATTATCTTCTGTATCTCTGTCAATTGGTTTTTCTTTTCTTTGTTGAAGAGGTTCTGTGTTGCTTGTCTGCTTATTGCTCCATCTTACCGGAAGTCTCTGTTTATGTAATTATATATTTTTAAAGATACAGTAGACATTTGTCTGTTTCATTCTTAAGTATATAACTATAAATTTGTTTTTAAAAAAATCAAAGAAAAGGATTTTTTAAACTGAGAGCTCTGGTGGCGTAGTACCTAAGGCATTTGACTGCTAACCGGAAGGCTGGTGGTTCAAACCCACCAGCCAGTCCTTGGAAAGGAGACTGGGCAATCTACTTCCATAGAGATACCACCTCGGAAGCCCAAGGAGGGGTCGCTATGAGTCGGAATCGACTCAATGGCAGTGAGTTTGGTTTTGGTTTTGGTTTTGATATGAGAAAAAGTAAAGCCTTTTTTCCTCTTTCAGCATTTTGTTAGGCTTTAGGCTTTTTTTCTTTTTTTAAAACAAGGAGATGTAGAATAAGAATAAGTGAATGATGTCGTAAATGAAATATAACTCTAGTCTGTGTTCAGTCTCAGGCCCTCATTGAAGAACTATTGCTGTACAAGCGTTCAGAAGACCAGATAGAATTGAAGGAAAAGCAGTTGTCAACTATGAGGGTGGATGTGTGCAGCACGGAAACTCTCAAATGCTTAAAAGGTAATACTTAGATCCTTTTCAATAGAATAATTCAGTTTTTTTTTCAGACCTGTCATTTTATAATAATCAGACTGACTTCCTCCATAAAGAGAACCTTATAAAAAGTAGTTGCAGCACCTCTGGGTTCCCAGGTAGTGATTTCCTTTTCCCCATTTATCATGCTTTTTTTAATTATTTATTGCTATTGTTGTGTACATTTGAGTCAGTTGTTGATTTGGGATGTCACTTAATAAGGTAACTATAATGCCTTTAAAAAGCTACATAGGTGCGCTCTTTTCTCTACAGTGTGAATTGCAAGTAATAATTGTTCTAATAATTTATTAGAAAGTAAACCCCATGAAGATAAGAATTATCCTAATTTGTTAAAAGTATTGTGTTGGTCACATACTTTTGGTATATTGCCTTTTCCTTCACCCAAATTTTTATCTTTCTAGCGATTTTCCTTCCCCTCCCCTCCCCTTCCATTCTTGTTAACTGTTATGGTTACCTCTGTGCCGCTCTAACAGAAATACCACAAATGGAATGGCTCAAACAAATAAGAGTTTATTCTCTTATAGTTTGGAGGCTTTAAGTCTGAGTTCAAAGTGCCAGGCTCTAGGGGCTGGGTGAAAGCCCCTCGACTTTGGGCTTCAGTTCTGTCTCTTGCTCCCAACCCACTGAAGGTAGAGGCTTCTTTTCTCTCAGACAGCTGCTGGCTGCTGAGGTTGACAAACCCAAAGTTGACATGTAAAAAGGCACAAGTCCCAATATTACCAAACCACACGGCAGGCCATTAATTCAAGTCCATTGAAAGTCCCACAGTCAGCAGAGCATGGCAGGTTGCTGAACAGCGTCTCAGCTACGTGCAGGGTTCAAGCGTGCCATAACCTGGAGACCGCTCTCAAAGCTGCTGTTTATATATAAGCAGCAGACCACATCCCTAAAGCAGCTACTCAGCTGCTTGTGATGCATCCCACCATGGAGCTGATTGCCAGTCTCATCATGGGATATAACTACCCCAGCTGTCTAGCAACTCAACCAGGCCCAGCCAAGTTGACACACAACCTTTACTGCTACAGTAACCGACAGAGAAAGTTATGTATGAACCTCTCCTTGACCTTTTATAATAGTGATCTCATACAATATTTGTCCTTCTGTGATTGATATATTTCACTTAGCATAATATCCTACAAGTTCATCCACGTTAGGAGGTGTTTCATGGATTCTTTATTCTTTAGTATTTCATAGTATTCCATTGTGTGTATGTACCATAGTTTGGTTATCTGTTCATCCTTTGATGGGCACTTAGGTTGTTTCCATCTGTTTGCTATTGTGAACAGTGCTGTGATGAACATGGATGTGCATATATCTATTTGTGCCCTAGCTCTCACTTCTTTAAGATATCTACCTAGTAATGAAATTGCAAAGGAGTTCTGTGGTGCAGTCATTAAGGCATGGGGCTGCTAACCAAAAGGTTACTGGTTCAAACCCACAAGCTGCTGCACAGAAGAAAAATGAGGCAGTCTGCTTCCGTAAAGATTTATGACCTTGGAAACCCAGTGGGGGTTGCTATGAGTCAGAATAGATTTGATGGCAATGAGTTTGGTTTTGGTGAGTAGGATTGCTGGATTTTTAAGGAAGTGCTACTGTTTTCCACAGTGGTTATACCATTTACAGTCCCACTAGCAATATATGAGAGTCCCAGTCTTTCCATACCCTCACCAGCATTTGTTATTTTCTGTCTTATTGAACTTTGCTATTGTTTGGTGGAGTGAGATGATACTTCTTTGTTATTTTGATTTGCATCTCTCCAATAGCTAGTGATCATGAGCATTTCTTACTTGTTTGTTGGCCAGATGAATATCTTTGGTGAAGTGTCTGTTCATATCCTCTGCCTATCTTTTAATTGGGTTATTTGTCTTTTTGATGTTGAGGTGTTGGAGTTTTCTATAAATTTTAGAGATAAGTCTGTCAACAGATATGTCATTGCCAAATATTTGTTCCACTTTGTAGGTTCTCTTTTTACACTTTTGAAGAAGTCTTTTGATATGCATAAGAATTTAATTTTTAGAAGGCTCAAGTCATCTAGTTTATCTTCTGCTGTTTTGTGAATTTTTGGTTATTTTTGATAGTGTATGGATGCCATAAATTAGGGCCCCTAAGTCTGCCCTTATTTTTCCTTTGATGAATTTTATAGTCTTTAGGTTTTACATTTAAGTCTTTGATTCATCTTGAGTTAGTTTGTATATGGTGTGAAGTATAGATCTTGTTTATTTTTCTGTAAATGGATATCCAGTTTTGCCAGAACCATTTGTAAAAGAGACTCTCTCTTTCCTTTTAATGGATTTCAGCCATTTGTAAAAGATCAGCTATCCGTAGGATAGATTTGTTTCTGGGTTCTCAGTTCTGTTCACTGATCTAAGTGTTGTTATTGTACCAATACCAGACTGTTTTGACTACTGTAGCAGTAATAGTAGGTTTTGAGATCTGGGAGTGTAAGACTTCTTACTTTGTTACTCTTCTTCAGTAGTGGTTTGCTTATCTAGATCTCTTTCTTTTCCATAAAAAATTTTGTTGTTGTTAGATGCTGTCTAGTTGGCTCCAACTCATAATGACCCCATGTACAACAAAACAAAACACTGCCCGGTCCCACACCAGCATCGCAGTCCTTGCTGTACCTGACCCCGTCATGGCAGCCACTGTGTCAGTCCATCCTGTTGAGGGCCTTCCCCTTTTCCACTGACCCTCCACTGTATCAAGCATGATATCCTTCTCCAGGCAGTGGTCCCTTCTGACACATGATCAAAGTAGATGAGACAAAATCTGGTCATTCTCACTTCCAAGGAGCATTCTAGCTACTCTTTATCCATGACAGATTTGTTCATTCTTCTGGAAGTCCATGGTATTTTCAATATTCTTTGCTAACACCACAACTCAAAAGCATGGACTCTTCTTTGTTTTTTTTTTATTCATTGTCCAGCTTTCACATGCATATGAGGCTATTGAAAATACCTTGACTTGGGTTAGGTGCATCTCAGTGTTCAAAAGTCTTTGCTCTTTAGCACTTTAAAGATGTCTTTTGCAGCAGATTTTCCCAGTGCAATATGTCATCTGATTTCTTAACTTCTGCTTCTATGGGTGTTGATTGTGGAACCAAGTAATATGAAATCTTTGACAACTTCAATCCTTTTTCCATATATTGTAATGCTGCTTATGGGTCCAGTTGTGAGGATTTTTGTTTTCTTTATGTTGAGGTGTAATCCGTAGTGCAGATTGGTTTATCTGTGTTTTTAAAGAATGCTGATAGAATCTGGATTGGGATTCCATTGAATCTATAGATTGCTTTGGATAGTGTTGACGTTTTCACAATGATCAGTCTTCCTAATATGATAGGCTTTTTTTTTTTTTTTTTT